TGGATATCCTAAAAGGAGGAGTCAAGAGAAAAAAAGAAAATGAAAAACAACAACAAAATTGACAGAAAGAAAGGAAAGGCAGGAGGCCCTTGAGGAACTGGAAATTTGTTCTTCTAAAGGGAAAAAGTGGTAAGTCTGAGAACCCCCCGGCCTCCACATGAGCTGGACATCAATGAGAAGGATTCGAGGCAGAATGCCAAAGCAATCTTCCCAAGGGTGCAAATAAATTATAATAAATATGTTATACTTTAAAATATATGTGTTCTTAAATAATTCAGTGTTTTTTCTGATTCTGAGTTTTTTTTAAGCAATGTCTTTAACTGCTCTAAAGTCATTTACCAAAGATAAATATCGTGCTTTCATTAAATAGTTTTCCTTGTTTTTTTCTCTATCATTACAATTAAAAGTCCTACAAAATATGCAAATTTATTTACAGAAAAACAGAGCCGGCATCATTTAAACATCCCTGTTTTTCAAAATTCCTTGTAAACAGTTTCAGAAATTCTTCAAAGATTGTTTATTTTTCTCTCTCTTTTTTAAGGTTTTGTGTGTGTGTGTGTTGTCTAGTTGTTTTAAGATGAAAGTTCCCAGTTCTCCCTTGCCCGGAAAGTCTCTGGAGCAAGCGTGGAAGGCGAGTGAAGCGGAAGGTGAGTGAAGCGCGCGCAGCTCCCGGAGGGAAGCGAGAGGCGAGGGCGGCGGCGGCGTCCCAGGCGACGCGACCGGTCCGGCCGATGGTGTGGCCTCCATCGGCGACGGGCAGCCAGGCGCCCGCAGGTCTGGGGCGAGTTCGGCCTGGCCCTCGGGGACGACGGCGTCCGACAGCACTCGCGGGGAGAAGGGATTGATGCTCAGTCTAAACTCTACAAAAGTACAGTCCTACAACATCTGGGATTTTAGCAGTAACGCTAACTTCTATAGTTTTTTTTTTTCCTTTTTTATTTTTATTTTTTTTATTTTTTGCTTTCCTCTAATTTTTCTTCTATTATATAGGTATTTTAAACTTTTCCTTTTTAAAATTCTGTACAACTATTATGATTTTAAGAGGGGGAAGAGTTAGAAGCATTTACAGACTTTTCACAACAATGACCTTGCCTGGTAAGTCCCGTTTGTTCCCCTCCTTGTTTTCTCACACTTCACGGTATATGAGTTTTAAGATTTCTGTTGCTTTCCCCAAATATCCACCAATTTGTTCATCTTAACAGCTCCATCCAGACATAGAATACAGAAAACCATAGGAAAGTGTCATAGACTTGGATGAGGGTCATCAAAGCGCCTCTCAAAGTATCAAAGAACTATTTTATCTTGCTGTTTTAAAAGCACTGAAGCGTTATTTTTCCTTTTTTTTTTCTTTTTTTTTTCTTTTTTTTTGTTTTTTTCTTTTAATTTTTTATTACATTTTTCATAGAATCGCTCTAAGCTGTTTCAAGAACAGCCACGAGGCAGGAAGGAGGGGGTCCTCCATTCCCCCTCTATTTGACATAGAGCTACACATCTGCAATAAAAAGTTTGGTCCTTTGGTCCCTAAATAGCTAAAGGAATGACAGATAGAGATGCTCAGTGGCGGCTTCCCAGCCGCCCCCTGGGGACCAGGCCCCACGCACCGCTTGCCCCAGCCTGCCTCAGGCACCCGTGGGCTAGAAAAGCCCCGGGATCGGTAAGCAGCGTCTCCTCCCAGTTCCCAGCCCTTCAGCCTCCCCGTCTGGTCTTGTGATATTTTGTTTTAAAGTTGCCTTTTTTTGCAATTTTTTTTTCTCATTTTTCTTCATCTTCTTCTTCTTTATGTCATATACATTTTTCCCCCAAACACGTGCCCTCTGAACTCCATAGACGCTATACTTTCCTTGAAGAAATGTTACAGTCACACAGACAGTGTCTGGAGTCTTCAGCTTGATTGATATTGGCTGATATGTCAAAGGTGTCATCCAACAGTTCTCATTTATAAATATATATAGAGAGAGGTTTGTTTTTTAATGTAGCCCGTTCAGCATCCTGCCCTAAAATGAAGAAAATCAGGGCTGATTAAGCCAAGAGGGAAAACACAAAAAGCATCCAAACACCAATAGGAACCTGCCTCAGGGGCTAGGATGGGAGCTCTAGGGCATGGTGGGAGGGAAGGAAGAGAGACCAGTATGAGAATTAGTCATGATCATGATACATTAAAAAGAAATATACTCTTCTATTCAGAGTAGAAACCACTGGGAGGTCTAGTGGCGATGGTTGTAGCTGAGGTTTCGTTGTTGGAAGAAGGTTCTTGATTTGGGTTACTTTAGCATTCTGGATTGGGGGTAGCTAGATCTAAGGGGAGAATTTGGGACTGTGGGATATGAATTCATAATTAAACTTGTCCCTGAGGGATCTAGCCCAGATACAATATGTATACAGAAGCCTAGCAAACAAGATAGGAAAAATCTAGCCGCCCAGCCCACTCCTCCCGGCTCGAGGAAAAGAAGGAAGACATATCCGTGACTCAAATTTTGTAGAATCCTCGCCCAGCTTCCAGCCAACCACTTCTTTCCCGGGGTCAGTAACTATTTGCGAGGCTGTGTATATATATGTATATCTGGATATATGTGTAGAATATATTCACCTGCACATATGTGGATATACATGGATATGTGTGTATGTATATGCATATATACACACATACACACACATAATACTTTTCTCATACATGCCAGGGAATTTAGAGGAAATTCAGAACTTCAAGGGAGTGGATGGGAAAATCTAAAAAAGGTCAGAAGAGATTTAATTATGAAACTTAAATAGATTAACTCAGACAGTGCTTGATTTTGTTTTGAATGGTGGCTTTTTGGTGTTTTTTGCTTTAAAAAAAAATCATGATCTGACTAGAATCAGAAGGCAAATGCTTAATCATTGTGAATTAACAAATGAGACTCATCTCCATTCTAGCAAGCAGCTTCCACTTATACATGGGGGTGACTGGTTACATCAAGAAAGTTAGAACTGCAAAGCCCCCACTTGAGGGGACAACGTCATGCGTATATCAATCCATGCTGGCAGGTTTTTCACACTGTTGATTCAACAAACAGCAAACCGTACACAGCAGTCTAAACAATTACAACACCAAATAAAATAATAATAAAATTAAAAAACACTTGTCAAGGACCCTTTTTCAGTTGTAAACAAAAAGGTGCATTTTGCTTTTGTTAGTACTGTTTCTTCCAAACCAACCAAAAAAACCCCCCCAAGCCCCGGGTCCCCAGCCTCCCCTCCCCACATTTAATTTAGCAGAAGTGGCTACAATACAAACCTTACAATTGTTACCGGGCTCTCTCGCAGAGGCCTCTGGCTTTGTACTCTAGTTTTTTGGTTTAGAATTTTTTTTTTATCATTCTGTTACTGTAGATATTTTGTTTTTGTTTTTTTGTTTTTGTATTTTTCCCTTTGAAGTGAGATTGAAAATAGCCTAACTGGAAAAAGACCAGACCTAGGAAAGTGTCAATTGAAAAAGGCCCCCAAATTTCTAGAAAAAAATAAAATCACAATATTTTCAAGTGCAAGTAAATCAACCACGCATAGATATTTTTAAGATGTTTTCCTTATTTTTAAGAAAAAAAATAATGGTTTGCACAGGTAAATGATCCCATGTTTGATAATTCAGGAATTCATCTTTATTTTGACTATTTTTTATTCTTTTGTTTTGTTTTTTTCTCTATGTGACATCTAGAGAAGCATAAAAAAACGCTGAACAAGAAAAACCAAACAACAGAAAGTAAAACCACTGCAAGCACCAAGAACGAAACGAAAATGAGCACAGCAAAAAAGATTGTGGCAGCACAAAAGTCAAGAAAATGCACGTGTGATCATGACTGGCCAATCATCAACTGATACAACATCCAAGAAAAACGCTCCAATCACAGCACCTCCACGAAACTTGACGGCAATTGTCATGCAACCGATTCTTAGCCTTGTTACATGACGCCATCATGTCACACTGTGAACTTTGAGTTGATTTGAACTTACGGATGGGGGACTTTTCTCCACTCTCATGTGATTACGTGAACTTTATTCCTAGCTCAGCGCGAGACTGTGGTGGATTTGACTGGCCCTGGTTGGGTTGTTGGAATTTGATTGAATGACAAAAGAAGAAAAGATTTATATATATATTTATATATGTAGAGAGAGAGAGAGAGAGAGAAAGGACAAGAGAGTGTGGGTGGGGGAAGGAAGAGGTGGGGCAGGGCAGGTAGGGTTGGGGAGTGTGGGAGGGCAAGGAAGGTTGGGATTCGGGTAAAGGAAGGCAAGGAAGAAGTTAAAACAAAATTAAAAAGAAAATATATTTATACAGCACCAGACCACAGCATCAATCTAGAAGCTCGGATGAGAGAACAGCAGTCAAATCATAAGAGAACTGAAAAGAACTCAAAAGGATGGAGGAAGCCAGCAGACAAACATGGGCACATCAACACACACGCGCGCACACACACACGCACACATACACACATACACACACGGTTGTTTATGCAGACACATGATACACTGTGAACAGAAGCAGAACCTCACACAGGGCCACTAAGGGCATCCATCATGCGTTGGGGAGAGGGGCATGGGTGGTTTGCCAAGGGGGCCAGAAAAAAAATAAAACAGCCCCTCAAACCACCTTGGCCGGCAAGCGATCTCGTGGAGCAAGCGCTCTGGTTTTCATCACCCCTGATTCTTTCTCTCCCCTAGGGGTGGTGCTCCCCCCACCCCCACTCAGCTTTCTGTGACTGCAGCCTGTGGGCCAGCAGGGGATGTCTGTCAGGGTGGCCCTGGTCAGCTGGGTAGGTCAGAGGCTTGCTGCAGTGACTGTTGTGTCCACAGGGTCCATCTACAAAAGCTCTGCTGCTGTAGTACCGCCCAGGCTGGCAGCAGCTCAGCCCTCCACCCTGTGGACTCACCTTGGCCACTATCCTAGAGAAGGCTGCAAGGGCACCCACCATGGAGGTTACGGGCCTCCCCTGCTTCAGCTCCACCTGAAATTACTTTCCTCAGAACCTTCATTTTGAGATTTAAGGTAAATTTCATCAATATTGGAATTCTAGAAACACGCCTTGGCACTACTGAGTTCATCTTGCAATCGCCTTACGCCCTTTCTTTGCTCACACTCTTTGCCTTGCTCCCAAGTGGCCTGGGTAGCCAAACTGAGGCTGCATCTGGGCACACAAAGCCCTTCAAAGGTTCTGCAGCGCTGACCCATCCAAGGGCCACATGGAAGGCTGGAGGATGCCCTGCAGGGGGCACAGAGGCGAGTGCCTCCAACCTCTGCTGCTTCCACCCATGCTCCGCTGACCTCCCTTGCTCACCACCCCACCCTCCTTTCCCACCCCCTCACCCCACACCCCTCCATGAACAGCTTTCCAGCCTGGCCTACCACAAAACCCTAACCTTCAGCTTTCTTTCCTGGTGGAGCCCTAAGTGCTTGAGAATGAGGTTCTCTTCCCTATCAGGAATCAACAGATGATTCAGCTTCCAGTTGTCTTCTCCATCCCTCACCCCTTCATAGTCCTCTGCTGCACCCCTCCTCATGGTGATCTTGAGCTTGCGCCGATAGGCCCTGCTCTCCTGTGGCACTCAGGCCTGGGCAAAGCCTGTGCACCAGGTTGATCTGCAGGCTTTCCAGTCCACAGGCTTCTACACGCAGTGGACTTCACCTCTCAGCTTTCTGCTTTCCTTCAAGGAGGGAGGAAGGGAGGCCTGGGATCTTAAAATGTCACTGTGGATGAGGGGCCGAGGAGCTGAGCCCAAGCCCAGCCTCCAGCTCAGCCTTCACAGAAGCACCCCAGACTCCTCCTGTACAGACCCCAGCCTGCCTGCCTACCAGAGCTGGGTTCTTTGTTCTTCCAATATTAGATCCCCCTCCCTCAGATCAGGGCCCATCCCATGCCCACCAAGTCATGAAATGCCACTTCCAACTCCTCCCAAGGAGCCCTTAGTCCCTCCCAGGATAGCCAGTGGGTAGGTCCCCTTGGCATGGGAGAAGAGGCCTAAGGAACTAAGGAGGGTATTGTCATCAGATGGGGGCTGTGTGACAACTGCAACTCAGGGACTCCAGGGGACTCTCCTCTCTCCCCTCCACTCCAGCCCTGAGCCCCTCATGGGCATTCACTCCTTCCCACTCTGCCTGCTCCTCTCCTAGCTCGAGAATGTGGCTGCCTGTCAGGGCCAGGCACTGTCCTGGGTACTGCAACACAAGCCTGAATAGCACACAGCCCCTGTCCCCGAAGCTCGGTCTAGGGAACATCCCCACACACACCCTCATCTCTCACACATGTGAGAGGCCCTAGACACACAACACACCCTCACACTCGGTCCCTGAGGAGGTCCCAGGACTCCACGGGGCACAGCTGGCTATGCTCTTCATTAGGGAGGAGCTGTTCTTCTGCCTGCAGTGTGACCCCTTCCCGGCCACTCTCGGGGTGGGGCTCACAGAGCACAGCCCTAGGTGTGGCAGTGGGATCACTGACCAGCATGGTGAAGCCCAACTCACCGCGCTGGGTGACGAAATTATGGCCAGGCTGAACCAATTCAGATCTCAGGCCCTAAAATCAGCTGGACTCAAGCAAGGGAGGGCCAGATCCAAAGCCACAGCCCAGCCTTGTACAGGTTAGATCCAAAGCACTTGTGCCTACAAAGCCTGGACCCAACACTTTCCAAAAGCATCCTCAGAGCCAGAGTCACAGGACTCACTAGATTCAGGACAAGATGCTTGGTGCACTCTCCAGCCATAGAACTGCAGTGCTAAGAGTCTGAACTGGCCTGCGGCTGGGGCCCAGTTTGCACTTACTGTGGTAAGTAGTGGCAGAACGAGGGGCTCAGAGGCCAACCTCTCAGCTGGGCGGGGCCAGGCTGGGTGGGTTCTGCCTGCTGGCTGTGGACCTGGCCACGTGCATGTTTTTGCCTACTCTTCCTGCCTTTGCTTCCTTCCTTTTGGTTTCCTGGCAAAGACTGCTTAGAGAAACTACCATCTTAGCACAAGACAACAAACCCAAGCTGCCAGAGGGGTAGGGCAGTGGGGAAGCAGAAAAGCAGCCAGCAAGGAGAGCCACTGACGCCAGTGATCCCACCCACCCAGAACCTCACTTCATGGAACCAAAGCCCAGCTGCGCTCCCCACAGCTGCCCTGCCTGGGCCCCTCTCCCTCCCACAGGTCTACCCCACTCCCTTCTGACTTTGCCTTGGAAAACCTGCACCATCAGGGCAGCCGCCCTCCCCCTGACATCCCCCCCACCTCCTCCTTTGCTCCCAGCTATGGCTGGTCCCTCAGCCCCTGCTCAGGCTGCCTGCCATTCTGAGTACCTGGGGCTGCAGCTCAGGCCTCGGCACAGATGAATATCCTTTACTGGCCTGTGATACCGGGCAGTGTTTAGCTGCTTTTTTGTGCCTTTTCCTCCCTCGCTGGCAGTCCGGGAGCAGCCACTTCTCACTGCAGTCCCCAAGGCTGCCTTGAGAAGCTCCCTATCTCTTCCTAGTACCCTCTTTCTAAAGGAGCTCCCAACAGTCTTGGGCTGGGATGCCTGACAGCACCATTTGTTAAAATGCTGTCTCAAAGAAAATTAAAGGTCAACTTTACTGTAGGAGTTAGGTCACATCATGGTTTTTTAAAGGGCTGTTTAGTAGAAATGAGGTGAATAGATGGGTGACCCCAGAAAATGCTCACCCCAGAGTATCCTGATGCTCCCTCAGGATATTCAGGATACTCTGGGGTGATAGGTTGGGGTGAGGGTAGATAGAGTGTGGCTTCTCATTCTCTTCACTTGAAGGGGAGTAGGCTCCCTGGCTTCAAAGCTTGGCTCTGTGACTCACTAGCTGATGGGCAAGCTACTTAATCTCTCTGCGCTCCATCTGTGAAATGGAAATACTAATACTACCTACCTGAAAAGGTAGTTGTAGCTATGTAGTTACATCTCCTAGTTGTTACCTCTCAGAGCAGCGCTTGGTGCTTGGTGCACGGTAAGCACTGTGTGAAGGTCTAGGGTCCTCACCTTTCTGCTCTTTGCATGCCTTGCTGGAACCCCACTGTGTTTTAAACCACTCTTCCCAAGTCCCCACCCCAACTCTGAATTGCAACTGGTTCAATCCTGTGGGCACTTCTGACCTTAGATCCTAAACAACCTGCCTTCTCACCCCTTCATCTGGGAATTCCTCTAACCTAGAGATTTTACCCTGGCTTGAGTCAAGGAGGCTAAGACAAGCTACTTTGAGGGGGAGAGGCCCTTGGAATCCTGGGGCATGACCCTGCCTGATGCATATCCTCCTACCCCCCAAATCCTCTAGTTGACACTAACACCTTAGTTTTATTAATGAGAAAACAGAAGCCTAAAGAAGACAAGCACCCTAACCCAGGTCACACATTAATGGCAGAGCTATGCTGATTTAAGAAAAAGTGTTCTATATATAGAAAAAGCTGTTTCACCAAACCATCCCTCCATTCCTATGGAAATGTCCCCATCTGCAGGCTGCCTCCTGGTGTCTGTGTGTGCACAGAACCAGAGGCTCCTTGGGGGCAGGGATGGTGACTCATTCATCCTTGCATCCCTAGCACTGAGCCCAGTGCCTGGCACAAGAAAGTGCCCAAACTATGAAAAACATGTGTGTTTGCATCTGGACACAAGCCAGAAATGAGCAAGGATGGGAAACCAGGAGGCAAGAAAGGCTGGTTTTGCTTTTCCCAGCTTGCAGAGAGTGGAGGCACAAGCACTTCTCCAGAGAGAAGGCCCCCTTCTGTACCCCAGCACTGGGTGGAAGATTTTCGGGGAGACTGAAGAAGCTGGAGACCTCCCTCACAAACTCTGGACTCTGAAACTCAACTTAAACATGTAATTCTCATGTGCCTGATCTTTCTCACAAACCCTCTGTTCTTACAGTGACTTGGGCCAAAAGCCTGGAACTCATCCTTGGCTCTTCTTTCAAAATACATCTAGAAATGAATTCCTTCACATCTCATTAACTGCTGTGGCCCTGGACTGAATGGTCCGTGCAGTAGACCTATGCTTTGGCTCCTGCAAGCTATTATCAACAGAGCAGCCAGGGTGACCCCATTGAAATGCAAGTTACCCATCACTCTTCTGTTTGGAACTCTCCAACGCTCCCTCCATCTCCCATTTCAGAGAAGAGACCAAGGCCACACACTAGGTGGCCCGGCCTCACTCTCCCAGAAACCTGGTCTCCTGCTGTTCCTACCCTACTCTGCAGCCCCACCTTGCAGCCTCCACCCTGACTGTTCCCTCAGAGGGAAGGCATGGCTGCTCCCCTCACTTTCTGTGCTCCAATTCACTTCCTCAATGAGGTCTACACTGACCATGGGGTTTAACTGTAGCCAACAATCCTGACACACTAAATCACATTCTTTGATCACATGCCATTGTTTATTGTCTGTCTCCAGCTGCTCAATCTTGTTCACTGCTGAACCCCAAGTACCTAACACAGTAGCTGGCACACAATACTACTGAGTAAATGGAGGACCGTGGGTGGGGAGGAGGCGGTCAGAGGGCAGCAGGGTGCTGAGCTGGAAGGGCCCAAAGGGAACCTTAACCTCTGTTCTGTGAAGAAGCCGAGGCTGCAGGAGCCGCAGCACTGGAGGAAACCAGATTGAAGGTTGACTTTTGATGGCCTGGGGTATCTCCCCCCATTGTTTCTGCAGGAAGCACTTTGACCTGGAGGAGGCATGGTTGACTGTGTCTCCAGCTCCTAAGCAGGACCCAGTCCACCAGAAAAGGTAACAACTACCACTCATCATGACCCATGCGGGGCAGGCAGGGCCCGGGATCTCAGTGCTGTACCATCACCCTCCTCAGCTTTCAAAGTTCCCTTTGAAAGATCCAGTCCTTCCTCTCTTCACTGAGCTATGGGGAAAGGAAGGGGTTCAGGGGTCAAGTGTCTAAAGGCTGACAGCCCTCCTGGGAGAACTGGGAAGGGGAGAGCCAGGGGGTCTGGGAGCAGGCCCCATGGGCGGCTGCAGCTCTCCTGGGTAGAGCCTGTTCTGCCCCCAAACTTTCTCGGCCTGAGCTTGCCACTTGTTCACCCCAGGATCCTCTGGCCAACAGGACTGCCAGTGTAGACCCGGAGGCGCAGGCCCAGGGCTCACCTGACCCTCTCGGAGCAGCTCCCTCACTCCTGCCCCTGCTGACTCTGCCCCGGGGAGATGGCCAGGCCCATTTCTGCCGGGGTGACTGCAGTTCTGCGCCTGGCTGGAGGCACAGGGCGAGGAGCAGGCTGAGCCGGGCGCAGCGGGTCCAAGGCACCAGTGAGGGTCCGGCCCACGGAGGCCGGAAGAGGCGGCGGGTCCGTCTGGTTCCCTCCCAACCCCCCGTCCCCACGCCCCGGCCGCCCCCGGTTACCTGTGCGAGTCCTGGTCTCCCCCGGGGGACGCTCCCGCCGGCGCTCAGTACGGGCGATTGGCGTCTTTGGGCCGCTTCAGCTGCACCTTGAGCCTCTTCATGCCGATCTGGAAGCCGTTCATGGCCTGGATGGCGGTCTGCGCGCTGGCCGGGTTGTCGAAGCTCACGAAGCCTGGCGAGACACGAGGGACGAGGGCCTGGGTTTCCACGGGGCCGCCCGGGGCGCTGCCGGCGGGGAGGGGAGGGGGACAGGGGGCGCGGCGGGGCGGGCCTGAGGCTCCTCCCCTCGGGCCCCGACCCCGCCCCCGCCCCGGTGCCCGCCCCCGCCCAGCCCGCGCGCGCGAGCGAGCGAGGCCCCTCCCGGGGCGGGCGCTGGCAGGGTCCCGGCTCGCGCACCTGCGCCTCGGCTCCGGCCGCGCCACTCGCTGGGCGCCCGCCCCCCAGGTGGGGCCCGCGGCCGGGCGGGGCTCAGAGAGGCGCCCGCCCCCCACCCCGGCCGGCCCCGGCACCTCAGCCCTCGCCTCGGCGGGAGAGGGCGGACACACCTGCGGGTGGAGGAGTTTATTGGACACTGTCCTCCCTGACAGGAGGGGGCCTGGCAGCGCGAGGGCACGGGGTGCCGGCCTGGGGAGAGAGACGAGTGCGAGGGGCCGGGAGGGAGGCGCCGCCGAGAAACTTCTCCACCGCGGGCCCGGCCGCCCCCCTCGCCAGCGCGGGCGCCCGGCCGTCGGGGGAGGCCCAGAGGCTGAGCCTTCGCGGTCCCTCCGCCCCCACTCCCGGCTCTGCCCGCCCCGCCAGGCTCCGGGGGGGCCCGGGCGCCATCAGCACCTCTCTACTTCACGCCCCGCGCCGTGGACTAAGCACGCACCAGCTGATAGGTCCCCTGTGATCCCCTCAAGAGCTCCGTGACAAGTCACAAGACCGTCAGTGCAAGTCAGGCCAGAGCCCTCAGTGCAGAGCGCTTCCCACGCGTCCACTGCTGTGCCCAGATGCGGAACCTGGCAGCTCCCAGGCCTAACTGCGCAGGTCCCAGATGGGCACGGACCATGTTCCCAAAAGGAGGTCAGAAATCACTTTTGGGGAACTTTGAATGCATCTCCTTACACAGACAACACTTTACATCAGCATTTCCCAAAGTGGTCCTCGCAGGTGCTCCTGAGAAAGGGCTTGTGTGGTCAGGAGGCTTAGAGCCAGGCCCAGTGGGCCAGTCCAGCGCACCAGCAAATAACGTCCCCTCCCGCCCCGAGTTTAGTAAATAAACCTTTATAGCTTTGTTTAATCTAGTATTTCCTTGAATTTATTCGACGTTAGAGGCCTTTTCTCCCGCAAAAATGACTTAGATCCTGCGAACTATGTGAAAGCTTGGCGAGACACCAAGGCCTTCCCATCAACGTGCCCGTTGCGTGCTGGTCTCCAAATGGCCATTAGGTATGAGAGGTAGACATAGCCATCCCCGAGTGAAGTAGAAGCCGTCTTCTCTCAGTTCAATGTCCGTAGTACCTGGGCCTGCCTGGGACTTTTCTCCAAGAAAGACAGCCCTTCCTCACTCTCCCAACCTGGGGGCTCTTTTCCCCTCTTTCCCTCTGCCCCAGAGGCTACCTCCATCATCTCTTTCTCTCCTCTCCTTCCTGCCTTGCTCAAGTTTGCTCCTGCAGCCAAAAGAGGGCAACAATTTGTCAGAGCTGGCCCCAGAGCAACAAAACCAACCTCTGTATAAATATAGATGCCAGAATAAATAGGGAGGATTTCAGCTGATCCATAGTTGGAGATTCACTTCCAGTGATGTTTCCACCAGCTCCTCTCAGCCCCTCCTGGCCCGTCCCCACCTCCGCTGACCTGTATGTCTAACCACTGAAGTCAAGTCCTTCATAAACCAGAGCAGTTTTCAAATATATGAATTGTGTGTTGATGCTGCTTTCCCCAGAATAAGGAAGGTGGCTGAACAAAAGCCTGTCCCTGTCAGGACAAGGCAGCCTGACTGTAGGCGACATGCTGCCCCTCATTCCTCTCATCATCCACAACAGCTCAAGGAAGGGAGGAGAAAGAAGATACAAAGGGCTGGAGGAGCTGTCTAGGGCAGAGGGAGGCAGAGCCACTGTGTGGGGAGAGCAGGAAGGAATTCAGGAGAAGGCAGAAGCTCAGCCTTCCTGGAAGAGTTTAGAGGTCCCTGGAACCCTAACTGAGGGTTGAGAAGGAGTCCAGGCTCAAGAGAACTTTTCTTCCCTTGATCTCTTAGTAACTGGCTAGCAGTCAGAGCAGGGTCTCTCTGTCCCCCGCAGACCGGAGGCCCCTTTGGCAGGGCTCTGGGCACCGTCTCCCATGTTCTTGGTTCCAGGACTGTCTTTCTTCTTCCAGAGCTACCTCTCCTGCTCTCTTCCTACCCTCAGAAAGTTTCCGCTCGCAGGCCCTGTGAGAAGGCCCACAGATAGAATCTCCCCATGGTGTCCCTGCAGCCCTCCTTCCAACATAGGGACAGTTTGTGCTGGATGTGTCCTGATGAAGGTCTCTGGAAGATTCTGCTTATAAATGTACATGTATGCTTATGAAGAGTGAAAGCGGCCTTTGAGGAGTTCACTTTAACATGGGGCCACTTTTACAGCAAAAATAGCACTTTAAGAACAATGGGGACCTAGTGCTTCCTGAGGGTCTGCCCTGGGTAAGCTCCCTCACAGCAGCCCTGGGGCGATGGTTAAAATCCCCTTTTCACAGAGGAAGAGAGAGAAGCTCGTTGTCCATGAGGGAATGCTGAGGTTAGGTCTCACTTTGTTTTTATTTAGTTAGTTGTTTTTGAGACAGAGTGTTGCTCTGTCACCAGGCTGGAGTGCACTGCAGCCTCTGCCTCCTCGGTTTAAGAGATTCTTCTGCCTCCACCTCCCGAGTAGCTGGGAATATGGCACCCGCCACCACACCCAGCTAATTTTTTTATTTTTAGTAGAGACCGGGTTTCACCATGTTGACCACGCTGGTCTCGAACTCCTGACCTCAAGTGATCCGCCTGCCTCAGCCTCCCAAAGTGCTGGAATTACAGGCATAAGCCACTGCACCTAGCCTAGTTCTCACTATAAAGGCTTCTGGGATACTGGCAGAGTGTTCAGCTGCCTGGTGTGAGAGAGAGAACCCAAGTGGCTTAACCAGGAACAGCTAGGCTCAACCAGCATCTTGGGAGTCTGTCCTTTGTTCAGGGCTAGTATGTTTGACATCAGAAGTTTGTTCAAGAGGAGAGAGCTAGATTAGAGATATACAGAGGGTGTTCCTTTAAAAAGCAGGAGGAAAAAACTGTGGTCCTGGCTAATTTAAGTGGGCTAATAGCCTAAAGAGGGCAGTGCCTGGAGCAGACTGCTAGGAAACGCTTTCGGAAAGCCGGGCTGCACCTGCAGCTGGAACAGTGCAAGTGAGCCAAGCTCGGCTATGGCTGGAGACTAAACCTGTTCCAGCAGAGGCGCCCAGAGCTGCCTGGGCTCTCAGCAGTGCTCTTCTCATTGATGCAGCATTTGGGACTTACTTAAGGAGCAGATGTAACTGACTTCCAGCTTACTGCTTTTACATACGTAATTGTAATTCATACAGAGAAATACTGAAGAGTGGAGGGCCGCAAACCTGTCTATTGCTTTTGCTTTGTTTTTCCACCCCCAGAGAGAAATGAGCTGCTGCGGCAACTCCATGCCATTGAAAGACCACAAGTTTCCTGTGGCAGCTCCAGAGGGGAAGGGAAGACCGTGCAAAGATCTTGACTACTTTGGGGAACGTGCTTTGAATCCTCAAACCCTTTGTGATTCCAGAAAGTTGGACTCCAGACTGGAAACTCCTTAACATGTGCTTCCTGATGCTGTTCCACTCCTGTCCCCTCTCCCCTCCACCACCCCCACCTGTGACCTAAGTTCCTCGGCAACACAGCCTTCTACTCTCTCCTCACTGCCCCAGAATCTGGGGTTAGCCTGGAGATACTGAGCTTCCGGCAGACTCAGCTCTGGTTCCATGTATGGCTCTCTGGGGACTGGACTCTTCAGTCCTCATGACTTAGGTGTGGGTCTGGCCCAGAAGGAAGGGCTGATGGAGAAGGATGAGGAGGTCAGGGAGGAACAAGGAGGAGTGGAGCAGAGAGGGTGACATGAAATTCCAGGAGGAGGTCTGACGCTTCCTGGATAGGGTTGCCAGACTTAGCAAATAAAAACACAGGATGCCAGTTATATTTAAGCTTCAGATCAACAAGAAATACTTTTTTACTATAAGTACACACTTATACTAAAAATGGATCTTTTGTAATCTGAAATTCAAATGTAACTGGGCATTCTGTATTTTATCTGACAGCCATACTTCTGGATGCTTCCAAGTTTTCCCTCTCCCATGTTACACCGTGCCCTGGGCACATTTCCTGCAAGCTGTATTCTTATTACTCAGCTCAAGGACCTCCCATTATTTCCACTGCCTACCACACCCCAGGAGACATCCTCATCTGCATACAGAACCCCCACAGCACAGACACCCCACCCAGTGCCTGGTCTCCCTCTTGCTGTCCTCTGGCTCACCTCACCCCAGCCCCATGCCTTCCTCATCCAAGTCTCCCCACCTGGAGTTCCCTCCCTTCCTTTTGTGTATTTACATCCATCTGCCTTTCATATCGCTCCATTATTTGGTGCCTCGCAGATTTCACTGCTGTAAACAGAATTTTTATCTAAGCTCAGCGCTTAGGCTTCCTGAGGGCAGGGACCAGTCTCCTCTTCCTGACTCCTCAACAATGCCCAGCTCTGGTGGCCTGAGACAGGTGAATGGGCAGGGCAGGAAGGGAGCAAAAAGCGGGGTAAACCGAGAGGAGGAGTGGGGGCAGGACAGAGCTGGAGAGAGGAGGCGAAGGGGCGGGGAGGAGAGGAGGCTGGCTAGGTGACTGCCCTGCCCAGGTGTTACGCTCTGCTTTATTTGGGGGCTCAGGCCAGGTCTCCTGGTCAGACCATGAGAAGAGAGGGACTACTGGGGGAATGGGTGTTGCTGGGCTCTGCCTGCTGCCCCTCCTGCCCCTGCTCAAAGTGGGCCCTTTCCCTTCTCAGTCGGTTGGAATTTGGCTGGAAGAGGAAACCCATATCTTGGACTGGGAGTGGGAGATGGGGAGCCGGGTGGGGTGGGTAGGGAAAGCCAAGAAGCCGAAGGAGCAGTGGGAGAGAGAAGGGTGAGATGAGGCTGGCGAGGGCCAGGGAGCAGCTGGGGCGGGCGATGTGAAGGAGCAGGTGAAAAGCAGTCGGACACCGGTAGGTTGGTGCGAGCACCGCCCTGTCCTAGATGAAGCTAATTGGTTTGTTATCTTTACCCACCAAAGCATTTACTTTGGTTAGTCGCCCGATCCACAAACACTTTCGAGGAGATGACATTACCGAAAGGGAGGAACATCTGCATCAGCTCAGCGTCCCCAAACTCCTGGGGCAGATGGTAGATGAACAGGTTACAGCCCTCGGGCCCTGCGGTGAGGGGAGGGGATGGGCGGGGGAGGAGGGATGGCGGGGTGGGGGAAGAGAGAGACAGAGGAGAGGTGAGCGAGTTAGGCAGCGCAGCAGGGAGAGGTGGGGCAAGGTTAGGAGGGGGGGTCTCATTCCAGATCCAAGGGTGTCCCGGAAGAGGCAGGGATGCTGAGCTCCGGGTCTGAGCTCCGGTCTCTGCTCTGCCCTTGGGCAATTCACTGAACCTCTCTGTGCCTCAGTTGCCTTTTCTATAAAATGGATCCCTAACTAAGGCTTGGAAACCACAGGGCTCCAGGGGCAGAGTCAACCTCCTGCTGTGTCTCTGGGAACCAGGTTCGAGGAGAGGGAAGGCCCAGGAGATCTGGCTGCCCAGCCCCTGCTGTGGGGGGACCAGGACATCCGCTGGGGCAGCCATGTCCTGTACTGGAAGACATCCCACTTTCCCGTCTCGCAGGCCAGGCTCAGACTCTAGGAGGGGGGTGCCCATCCTCCCCCTGCCCTGCAGCCTCTCCTTCCCATCCGGCCCTGATGGCCCAACTGTCCTGCCCAGTTCCTCATACCCAGGAAACCAGGATTTATCCTGCCTCCTCCCGTGTGGGTTCGTGGGAAGGGCTGCAACCCAGGCTCTATGAGAAACCAAGGAACCTCCAGCCTCACGACATGAGGATTCTTCATTTCGTTACCACAGTAACAGCCCTGCAACTTCAACAGCACGAACTATGTGTCAGGCTGTTCTGAGCTAACTCACTTCATCCTTACGGTAGCTTTATGATCATCATTCTCACTTCACAGATGAGGAAATGAGGCCCAGAGAGGTTAAGTCACCTGCCACACAGCTGGGAGAGGGCTGGAGCCAAGGCATGAGCCCAGACTGTCTGTCTCCATGGTGTGAGTTCTCTCCTTCTTCCTACCAAAAATCTCAATACCCCCGGCCCCCTGAACACTGTGGAGGACTTTAGCTTTCTAAATTTCCACTAGCTATTTACCTGTTTCTTTTTAAGTAGTCAAAATGCTCAATTTTAACTCTTTGAAATGGAAATCATTCCAAGATGCATGCTAGACAGCATAATGCCACATGTAATTTCACCTTTTAAAGTGACTTGTGGTCATTTCAGTGATGGCATCCAAGCTGTGGTGGGAAGGGGAAGGAAACAGCTGCACTTAGAGTTGCGTAAGAAGCAGGTTCTGATCAGCAGCTGCTGGAAACCCAGGCATGAGCTTAAAAGCGAAGGCTGTAAGGCACCGACATGGGCCGCTCCATGGCTTTTACAGCCACAATCAACCATCCTTGTTCTCTGGGAGCAGCGAGGCTGCCAAGCAACACAGTTGTGGAGCAAAGTCTTTATCTAGAGTCTCTGCCCCTTCTCTTCTTCTCCTCCTCTACCCTCCACTCTCCTCCTCCTTTTCTCCATCTGTCTCTATCCCCTCGAGGTCCACAGCCTAGAGCAAAAATTTCCCCAACCCCTAAAGCTGCCGAAGGAGCCTCTTGGCCTCCTCCCTCCTTGGTGCTCACCCTGTGCCCTCTGCGCACCCTAGCCCTCTGGCCTCCCCTCCATGGACAGCTGGCTCCCAGGCATCCTGCCAGGGGATGGCGCATTCAGATCTGGGCACAAATGTGCTCCCTCACCCCCTTCCAGGTGTTCCTAGTGCTGGATACCCCCGAGCTCTGGTGGCCCTCCCCTCACCCTGTCCCCTCCAACCATGCTGTCTTCCCACTGGTTCATACCCCGTGAATGTGCCCTTGATGGCCCCCAGCTCCCCACAGCCTCCCTATCTGAAAGGACCTCCAGCCTCTCCCTGCTTGTGCCACAAGTCCCATACTCCATCCTCTGGGGTGGGGCTCTTTCTCCTTTATGTCTGGAGATTTTCTCTCCAGCCAGACTGGCTGCTCCCAGGCACATGCACCTTTTCATGTCCTCCTGCCCAGACCCCCTCCAGCCCTGCGTACACCTTCCTTCCTCTCCCATCCTCACTCTTCCAGGCCCTGACTGCTCCACCCCTTGCTGACACTTGACTTGGGGCCCTGGCTCCAAGTTCAAGTTCTGCAAGCTGCTTTATGTGGAAGCTGCATCTGTTCTCCTTAGAAACAAGGAGGCTTCACAGACAGGGCTCACAGGTTCAGTCCCATGTGCACGGTGTGTGGAGGAGCCCCAGGGAAGACTCTCCAGCCCAGGCCTGACGGGGAAGCCAGGGCAGCTGCTCTGGACCCTTCCCCTGGACAGTGAGCCCACACACTGTCTAACTCCAGCTGCCACCAAGCCCTTCTGCACTCCCTCATTCACAGATTATAGAACGTGCAGATGGCAGAGCTGGCAGGACTTTAGAGACCAATCTGGTCCACTCCAGCCTTCTGAGAAATGGTGAAGTGGAGCTGCAGCGTCAGAAAGCAGCTACCCCTGACCACCCGGCGGCCCTGGCAGAGCCGCTGCAGCAGCCATCCCTGAGGGCAACCTCGTCCCATCTCTGGGGCAGATAGCCTCTGAGGGATTCAGGCATCTGTCAGTTTTCAGGCTCAGCTCAAATATGAGGAGCCAGCAGAAGCGTCCTCCCCTGCCCAAAGAATATCCTGATATTTCCATGGCATTCCATGTGGGGAGGGGACCATGACGTAAAGAGGCCAACTCTTGGCAGGGCTGGAGGAACACAGCCCTCTTTCTTATCCAAGCCTTGGACAACTCTGTGGGACACGACTTTGGGGCTCCAGCCCACCTTCCGTCTGCCTCTCCCTGGCCCCGTGCTCACCATGGACTCTGCAGCAGCTGTACCATTGCTCCCACTGCTCCCCCTGCCTGGACCGCCTGCCTCCCCAGCTCTATGTGCTGCCAGCCTCTGCCCATCCTTCCAGACCCACAAAAGCCTTCCTGACAAGCCACTCCCAGTGCCACGCTCTCACCCACCCATGCGGAGCGGCTCTGTTGGTATCGTGAGTTACCCTTCCCCATCCCTGGCTTCCCTGAGGTGGCTCAACCCATGCACCATGGCCTGGGAGAATGGGGACAATCATGGCAGATCCTACCACCCCAAGGAGAGGCTGGAGCCAAGACTGGCCACACAGGGCCTAGACTAGGGAGCAGGATTGGGGAGCAGGAACTGTAGCTCCTCAGAGATGGAGAGAAGGAATGAGGAGGAGGTCAGAGCTAGGCACATGGGGTAGTGCAGAGCGTGGAGCGGGACAGGGCAGGAGGGTCCACGAGGGCCTGAGTTTGTTTAAGGCCTGCAGTAGGGACTGTCATGTTTGTTGGACAGGGTAGCATTGACCTGCAGCTGTGTGGGGGTTGGAGCAGGATTTAGAGGCCCCTGAGTCAACAGGTCAGGTGATTCAGGGAGCTGACGATGGCCTGAAACTAGTGGGAGAAAAAATAGCAGGGCCTGTGGGCACAGCATTCTGTTCTGGACCTGGAGTAGGCAACATGAAGACCCCTGGATCCCACCCTTTGTGGCCCTGGTCTGACTGATAAAGGCTTGGACTGGGGAGAAGGAAAGGGCAGGGCAGGCCCAGGGCTGCAGCCCAATGAGGGGAGCCCCCCACCCCCACTTCACCAGTGGTAGCCCAGTGTCCCTCAGCTGCAGCAGCATGAGGCAGAGGACGGGCTGGGCCTTCCTGTCCACCCCTCTGAGTTCCTGTAGCTTGGATCTCCTGGGCATGGGAAGCCCTGATGCCCCCGATCTCAGAAGCTGCCTGCTGGGTGTGAGCTGGGGCAGTATGTCTCATGCATAGCCTTGGAAAGGGTGCTAGCTTGGTAAAGGAAGGGCGGTGTGCACAGACACTTGCAGAATGGAGTTTGGGGGCAGACGCAGCCGGCTTGGTCCTCAGAGCCCCCACAGAAAGCTCCCCGCTCTCCTCACTTTGTGGTGAGGACACTGAGGCTGAAGGGATGGAGCGATTTGTTCAGGGTCACAGGGGAAGGAAGTGGCAGAGTCTCACCCAGAAAGGTGTTCTCTGAAGCCCGGGCTCTCAGCCAGGCAGGCTCTGGCACCTGCTTGGGGTCCCTCACTGGGCCTGTCAAGTGATGTTGGCCAGCCCACTCTTTGGTTCCTTCCCAGGACTAACCTACATCCCAGAGCTCCAGGACACTGTGCTGCAGGGGCTACGAGGCAGGGTTCTGGAGGCCACTGGAAGGCTCTGAGCACATGGGCTGCTGGGGCAGATTCCGTGCCTCGCTACCTAGTGACCATTTCCATGGGTGTAGAGAGGACAGGACCTTGTTAGTGTCCTGGCGCTCAAGCTGGGCTCTCTGTGCCAGGCCACGGGGTCCCAGAGGGCAGGCCTGTTCATCCAGCCTCCTGTCTTCCTGCTTATGTGGGACCCTAGGCACTGGGATGGGAGAACACTGACTTGCATTCTGAGGTCCCTGCCATTTGACCCAAGGATCTTGCTGTCCTGCCCTGTTCACACTAGGGCCTTGGGACACAGCTTTCCAGGAGCATCCCCTTCTTCCACTGCACTGGGGCACTCTCATCTCTTCTCATCCTGCCCAGGCAGTCGTCCTGCCCTGGGAGCTCCACCTGCCTCTCCTGGTCACTCAAAGGGCACAGCTTCTGTGGGTGATAAACTCATCTCCCTGTCCCATTCCCCTCCACCATGAGCACTCCCACTTCTCCCCATCCTCCCCACTGGCCAAATCCTGCCCACCACGGGAGGGGGATTCTTGGACCCCACCTCCTCTGGGGCCTCCCCTTCCTGACCCTCTCAGCCTGGCTACCAGCTTTTCCTTAATGCACACAGCTACCAGAGCTGGTTCTGCAAACTCCACCATGCTGTTGGAGATTTACTTCCCAGCTACACTCCCTGGGAACACAGTGGTGTGCCCTCCAATGAAGACCCCAAGGCTGAGCCTATATCTCCTCTGGAAGACTAGAAACTCCCTGGGACAGGAACAAGGCCTCCACTGGCACACACAGCTTTCCAGGAGCATCCCCTTCTCTGCTAATCTCTGCTAGGTTCTGTTTAAGGGATGGTTCAAGGGCTTGCCAAGGAAGAAACACAAACCCAACCATTCAGAAGGGGTTCTTAGAGACCAAGGTATGGATATGTGAGCTGTGGCAGGCCAGCAGCAATGATGGAGGGGAGTAGGAAGGGCATCTCGTGTGGGACCTGCTGGCCCTCAGGGCATTCTCTCCAAGCCCCTGTCCCCGGGCCAGGTGCAGAGCTGCCCACAAGAAGCACATCTCCACCCTTAGGTCGGACAGCACCGCTCCTTACAACCCTGCTGTCCTCCCTTGCCCACCTCCACACAGCACACAAACGTGGCCACCTTTCACACACCCCAGCCCAAGGCCCAGGTGAGCAGCTTCTTTGGGGAGAACGGAGGGGAGGGGCCCAGGAGTTGGCCTGCAGACTCACCTTCTCTCTGCTGCTGGGGAATCATTGGAGGCGGCTGAGGAAAGGCCTGGCTTATCTGACCATAGGCAGCAGGGTAGGCGGCTGCTGGAGGCCCAAGACAAGAAGCAAGAGCCGGCGACAGGGCAGAGAGTGGAAGCAGGAAGAAAGAGAGATTTCAGTGCAGGCAGTAAAAGCAGACCAGCCAAAAAGCGCCCTGCCCCTCAGCCACTTAGGACAAAGCCAGCTTTCAGTTCCTGGACTAATAGAGGAGCTGCAGGGTAAAGACTGGAAATGCGTGTGTGGGTGTGTGTACGTGTGTGTACATTACATACATACATGCACATGCGCATGTGTCTGTGTTTTGGGGGCGGCAAGTTTAATTTGAAATAATGGATAAACCACATGTGTGCATAACACACAGTCATGGATAATTAAAAACACCAAAACGGCCTGGACAAGATCTCCCCACACCACCTGGTAATCCACAGGAAGGGTTCCCACTTCTCTGAGCCACAGCTGACTCCAGTTGGCAGGCCTTCATTCCCACTCAGATGGCACCTGTGTGGGATGTGGGAGGCCACCAGAGGTATGGAACTGGCCTCTGGAAAGGCTGCCAGGGGGTAGTCCTCAGGGACAGAGGACTGAGTTAGATAAACCTGATTGTCCAACTGTAAAGGGCCTGGGGTGGGACAGGAGTGGCCGGCTCCCTCCTCTGTCTGGCTCAGCTCCCACAGCAGCAGAGCCTGAGGACAGAGCTCAGGGGACCCAATAGGTGACAGCACCTCCACTGGGCTCTAGATGGGCCAGATCAGCTTCACCTCAGTCCTCCCACCCCTCTCCAGGCACACTCATGGGAGACAGCACAGGGAAGAGAGACCCTAACAGGGTCAGGCAGTAGGACACAGGCTAGGCAGGGATGATTATGAGGTGCTGTGTAGTCCATGGGTGAGAGAAAGAGAAAGGCTTGGCTGACAGCTCGGCTTGGGCTCAGTGACCCCAGGCCCTCTGCTCACTCAGTGCTGTCCCTTCCCACCTCTCCTCCTTTGCTCCCTGTCCCACCTGCTGGGGCCCCATCCTGCTGACTGTTGTGGGGAGGGCTGTGTGGGGGATGGGGAGACGGTGTCTCTTCTTGAGGCCCTCCTTCTCTCAAACCAGGCATCTGTGCTTCCTGGGCCAGTGACGGTGACCCATGGTGGGCAGCACCTGGGTCCAGCCTGGCCTGGTGTCAGACCTGGTGCTCCTGGGCAAACCGGCCCTGGTAGCTCCACTGGGGAAGGGAAATCGGGCCTCAAAGACAAGTAACTCACAGCAAGGGTGAAGCTTCTGCCTAGCTTCCCCGCATGCCTGAATTTCCACCAGCCCCCACTGCAGAGGCACTCTAGGTGCCCCACTGACAAGAAGGCAGCCTGGAGGGTCTCTGCCAGCACAGGCCTCCCTCCTTCCACTCTCTGCCCACCCCATGCAGTGCTGGGCCCAGCTCTGAGGGGGCACTGGAGTCAAAGGCATGGAGAGAGAAACGAAGTTGGGGAAAGAGCCGTGGGGACGCGCGGATACTAACGACCTGCATACTGCTGCACTCCAGCGTAGGCCTGCTGCAGGGGGTCCGCGGCGGTGGGGCTCTGCGCTGTAGGGAGCCAAGGGGACAGAGGTCAGCGGTGCCCACCACACTGGCCCTTCCCCCCATGCCCATGGGGACAATGATGTAGCTGTACTACCTTTCCTGGCTATTGCAGGCTCTGCTCTGGGGCAGGGCATCTGGGACAGACACCTTGAGTGCCTGGACCCTCTGGGGGCCGCCCGCCCTAGCCCTTGGCAGCGTAGAGAGTTGCCCACCCTGGCTGGGGGATGCAGGCTGCAGTTGGCCTAGGGTTGGGGTGAGATCGGGGCTCATGCAGAGCACTGTGGAGGGTTGGGGAGGAGATGCCAAGGAAGCCTCAACACTGAGAGGCTGGTGGGGATGCACAAGGGCCCCAGCCCTGCAGAAGGGCTGTGGGGAAAGGGGCCGGAGGCTGTTGCGGGGTGGTGGACTTATTCTTCATGATCCTCAGTAGAAGTGGGGGACAGTGAATGACGGGACAGCCTGGCAGCTCCTGGTGGGTGAAAGAAAGGGCAAGAAGGCCTCACCTTACCACTTTGTCCTCCTGGGCCACTGTGCCACAGAGGGACCCACCCTCAGTGTCAGGGAAGCTACACGAGGCATGGAGGTCTTCCACTCCTAGCCCATGGCCAAGTCCTCTCAGCAGGGACCAGCCACACAAAGGAGGTCTTCCCAGCAGACTGGGAGTGGGATGCTGCCCACAGAACCAGGGAACCAGAAGACCAATGACCTTCCTCCTGCCTTCCGACACTGTGACCCTGGGATGTCTCCTGCCTAGTGGGAAGAGAGGTCCCCTGAACCAATAGTTTGGCAAGAAACTCAGGGAAGCTGGGCCAAGGGAAAAGCCTCATTCCCTTCTGTTGCCTTTGCTGTCTCTGCAGAAGCTGTGGGCAAAAGCCTGAAGCATGGGCGAGCAGTAGGCACTGGTTTTGGTGACCAAGGCTGGTGGTGACTAATCTGGGAGTGGGCTGGCCTTGGTGGCCCAGAGAGGTGGTAAAAGCAGGGGCTGCCCAGAGGGAGGATGGAACCCTAGGGTGGCTTGAGGGAAAACCGGATAACACGAGGTGGCAGGAAGGAACTATCCGGGTTTATCTGCCTGTCAACTCAGGCCAGCTAGCTAACTGGCCCCAGGCTTTGGGATCTTTAGTCTAGGGAGAGTTCCCCAACTTCCCTTCTAAGCACGTTTCCCTATCTCAGTAAAACTCCATTAGAAAAAGAGCATCTGGGCTTGGTGTGGTGGCTCACTCTTATAACCCCAGCACTTTGGGAGGCCAAGGCAGGTGGATCACCTGAGGCCAGGAATTCAAGACCAGCCTAGCCAACATGGTGAAACCCCGTCTCTACGAAAGCTGGGCGTGGTGGTGGGCACCTGTAATCCCAGCTACTCAGGAAGCTGAGGCAGGAGAATCGCTTGAACCCAGGAGGCAGAGGTTGCAGCGAGCCAAGATTTCACCATTGCACTCCAGCCTTGGGTGACAGAGTGAGACTGTGTCTCAAAAAAAAAAAAAGAAAAGAAAAGAAAGAAGAAAAAAGAAAGGAAAGGAAAGGAAGAAAGAAAGAAAGAGAGAGAGCGAGAGAGAGAGAGCGAGCACCTGGACCTGAGAGGCACCCAGGGAAAAGCTTGGTGCAGAGGTCCCTGGAGACAGTGGGACAGTAGGTTCCACAGCCCCCAGAAGCAGGATGTGGCAAGGGATCTGGACCTATGAAGGCTCTGCTCAGATGTGGGGAGCTGAGATGGGCCACAATGCAGGTTCCTTCTTGCTTGGGGCTGTCCCAGTCCCACACCCTGTCCCTCTGTTTCCACCATGGTAGAGGCTGGAGCCAAGGGCTCCCAGTGTGATGTGCTTGGCAGGGTGGCCTCTTCCCTGCCTTCCCTGTGCCCCTCTGCTCTGCGAGCCTCTCGGCTCTATGTGTCCAGATTGTGCTCTTGGTCTTTCCAGCTGCTCACCCATGCTGTGTCTTTATGCAAATTAGAAAAGCGTGCCCCTTCCTTTGGGCACACGGTTTGGTGCCCTCATGCAAAATATAACCGGCACGATTTGCATGGCAGCCTCCAGCACAGTGCCAGGAACATCATAAGCATCTGACAAAGAGGACTATGAAAAGAATGAACGGACAATCTTCAATGTTTGTGAGAGCCACCCCTTCAAGGGTATTTATATGACAGTAAAGGCCACACTGTGTGCATCCAGCAAGAACCCAAGAGGGGAGATCAGAAAAGCTACCTGGGGCTATAAAGCAGAGAAAAGCATTTATGAGACCCCTCTCTACTTCTCTGCTTAACGACCTCGTTAGTAACTGCCAAAGAGTGAACGTTTTGAAGGATCTCGCTCATTACAGCAGATCCAAACTCTGCATTTAAAGATGGTAAATTAATTTTTTAATGTACTACTTTTCTCCTTTTCTTCCCTCCATCCCTCCCTCCCTCCCTCTTGCTCTGGCAGGGAATTGTTTATGAGATGTGGCAGATTGTTACAAATGGGGGAAAGAAACATTTCCAAATTCCATGAGGGAAATAGCTCACAGATGCTGGAGGGGGTGGGGAAGGAGCAGGTTTATCAGGATCCAGAGATCCAGATGGGCTTGTGGGTAGGGAGAGGTGGGAAATGAAGCCACCAGATGTGCTGGGGATCTCATCTCCCAGCCCATGAACCTGAGACTGGTGGGGTCTCTTCCCCCAGTACCCCCAGCTTGCCTAGCCCTGCCCCTGCCGCCCTACCAGGCTGGGGTCATCATCCTTAAACAATATGCCAGATCCTTAGAGCCCCATCACTTCACTCTCTAGACTCCTCTGGCATCTTCTTAATGGACTGAGGGTATATCACGGGGCAAGCCCTGGAATGGGGAATGGGACAACTCCAAGTTCAAAGTCAGGAAATTCTCCTCTATTTCTCTCTAGTACAGTGACCTTGCACTCTGCTGCTGGTGGGACTTTTCTTTTCCTTTTTTTTTTTTTTTTTTGAGATGGAGTCTTGCTCTGTTGCCCAGTCTGGAGCACAGTGCCACAATCTCGGCTCACTGCAACCTCCACCTCCTGGGTCAAGTGACTCTTCTGCCTCAGCCTCCTGAGTAGCTGGGACTACAGATGTGCACCAACATGACTGGCTCATTTTTTATATTTTTGGTAGAGGTGGTTTACATCGTGTTGACCAGGCTGGTCTCGAACTCCTGACCTCAAGCGATCCACCCGCCTTGGCCTCCCAAAGTGCTAGGATTACAGTGTGAGCCACCACGCCCAGCCCTGGTGGGACTTTTATGTACTACAAATGCCTAAACTGCACTCCAGACAGGGAAATGAGAAGGTCTGGGCTTCTGTGGTTATATAAAGCCCCACAATGGATTCTGATGGGTACCCAAAATGGGGAACAGGACCCAGACCCTGCTGCCAGTCCACGTTGGGCTGGCCTGCCTGCCTGTGTGCCAACCTCCTTACCACCGCCACTCTTGCCAGGCAGGTCCCTCTACAGGAGGGTGTTCCCTGTTTATCTTCACCTCTCCAATTCTTGTCCATCTGTTAAAGCTCAATGGTAGCTTCCTCCCTGGGGAGGCTCTTTTGTGCTTCTTCAGCCTATAGAACCCTCCATTCATTTGGATCCTTTAGCATTTCAAATCTGAGAACACTCACTCTTGATGAAACTTAATTTTGCCTTATTGTCTCATCATTGTGTAGACTTAGATTGTGCTCTCAATGGACTCTGACCTCCCAAATGATAGGTCCATGTCCCACCCTCCTTCTTGGGCCCCCTTTTCCCACCCCGAAGTGGGCATTTACTGATACTTACAGGGACTTTAGCCTTTTCCTCTGCCCTCCAGGAAGGTGGCACTCTTCTCATCTTGAGAACATTGGCCTTAGATTCTGCTATAGGGCTTTGGGCCCAGCTTCCCTACCCTGAGAGTAGCCCATTCTCCAGACCAGGGAGAAGAGCTGCTTCAGGCCAACTGGACACTCTCACCCTGTGAGGATGGCTAAGTTTGAGGAACAAAGTTAATCAGGAGCAGGCCTCCTGGATCTTCCTGTGTTCCAGGCTTTTTGAAAAGAGGGTCTAGGAGTTTTCTGAGATGCTGGGCTGGCTGAGGTGCTGAGCTGTCCAGGGTGCTGATCGTGTTCTATGTGCAACAAGGGACTGGACTGGCCTGTACTAGCCAGGCTGCCAATCATTATACCTCCCTCCACTCCTTTCCCAAAGAGTCTTTTCCTACTTAACACTAACCCTGGTTGTTCTTCTATTTTCTATCCCCTTACTGCTTGTAGGTTAAATTCACACTCAATTATTTTGCACTTACTCGCCTCTCTACATGGTTGTACAACTGCACCCAGTCTCCTTTCTTCGCTAAGAGAGCACCTGGAATGGGGTTCTGTCTCCCTGATCAGAATGACATCTCCCCAAGGGCAGGATTTTGGTCTCTTTTCTGCCATCATGGGCTCCCTGAAGGCAGATGGGAGGCTGGCCCCCTCTGATCACAGAGTTTCATCAAGAAATGGATAGAGGGCAGGAGCCACATCTTGTTATAACAGCAAGAGCAGGAACAGCATGGATAAAGAAAGTGCTGCACAGGGAAGGAAGTGCTACTAGATGTGCTTACCTGGGTAGGGATGGATGCCATTGGCGAACACAGCTTCTGCAGCAGGTTGCCCATTGGCCTGTGGGGGGAGGCCAGTGAAGCCGTTCACCCCAATAGGGGACGGAATGCTAGGCACGGCTGGTGCAGTGATGCCCGGAGGGGTGCTGCCACCTGGTTCCAGGGATGTGGAATAATGGAGGAGGGGAGGCAAGCAGAACAGACGTGAGGAAGGTCCACCCATAAAGCTCTACTCAACTGTTTCCAAGGACCTGTGGATAGACTTGGACCTCACATACCAGCTCAATCTTATCTATGACCCATGCCTTGGCTTATCTCCGTATATGAAGCGACTTCACGTATCCCAATTGTATCCATCCTTCAAGGCAGAGTCCAAATTCCACCTGCCCAAGGAAGATATCTCTGACCCTTTTGGCTTGTCCTTAGCACACAGACTACTCTCAATGCCCTTGACTGTAACCACACTTGCTCCTCCTTCAGCCACTTTTTTTTTTAGATAGTCTTGCGTTGTTGCCCAGGCTGGAGTACAGTGGTGCAATCATGGTTTACTGCAACCTCCGCCTCCCAGGTTCAAGAGATTCTCCTGCCTCAGCTTCCCAAGTAGCTGGGACTACCACCATGCATCACCATGCCCAGCTATTTTTTGTATTTTTTAGTAGAGACAGGGTTTCACCATGTTGGCCAGGCGGGTCTTGAACTCCTGATCTCAAAGTGCTGGGATTACAGGTGTTAGCCACTATGCCTGGCCCTCCTTCAGTCTTTTTCAGTGTTCTTGCTCTCTGCAGCTAAGGCAGAATTAGCTGGTCTTTACTTGGTCACTAGGGGGCTGATACACCTCTCCAGGAAGTTTTTCTGCTCAGATGGAGTAGGTCTTAATTCTGGCATTTCTTGTACTGAGGCAGAGAGGTTGTTATAGAGCCCAGGCTCAGCTCTAGCTCATACACAAAGTAGACACCTCGGACTCCTCCAGTTGAAGCAATGGTAGTGGTCAGGATGCTGAGGATAAAGTTGGGGTCAAATGACAATGCCCTGTGTCCTCCCTATGCCAGGTGGGTGGAATCTAGATGTGGATATTATGTGGTGATTGCACTGAGGTCCCAGAGGCTGGAAAGGGCCTTCCTCTCATGGAGGAACCAGGGTACCTCTGAGAACATGGACCTGAGTCTGGTCCACTGCCTGGACTCATGTGTATCCCTTGAAGGGGGTACACATGGGGATCAGAGGTGGAGGGTAGTGTTCCAGCTGAGCCCAGAGATGGCACAGTCTTTTGTGGCTTTCAACTGGGAAAGGAACAGCTCTGGGATGTTAGGAAAGTTGCTGCTGTGGCCTGGGCACAGAAAGCCGAGGAAGCTCGGTGAATGGGCGCCTGGGGTGCAGGAGCATTTCTCAACTTTGACACTATTACCATTTGGGGCCAGAAATTTCCTTGTGGTGGCTGTCCTGTGCACTGTAGGATGTATAGCAATATCCCTGGCCTCTACCCACTAGATTTCAGTAGCAATCCCCACTCCCAGTTGTGACAGTCGAAAATGTCTCCAGATGTCCTGGGAGTTCGGGGGCATAACTGCAACAGTTGAGACTCACTGGACTGGACAATAGCCAAGATTCAACCAAAAACATGACTTGCGAGCTGGGTCGTTTCCAAGCTCCTGTCCCTTGATAACTCTTGTGGTTCTCTCTAGCTTGTTGCAGAGTTGTCTTAGAAAAAGCCAGTGAGTTCAGGTTGGGTTAAAGGGGAATGAAAGCAAGCAAACAAAAAACCAAATGGGTTCCTTCTGTGCTTGGGCCAGGGACTGAACAAAGCCACAGAATGGCCAAGGCTCTTTCCCTTATAGACACCATAGGGCGATGTCTTCATGTCACTTTCTTTCCAGATCTCTATTGTTAATAGAGATTAAGACACATTGTTTCCTGACACAGTTAAACAACTTGAGAGGAATCTGCCCCACCCTGAAATCACGTGGTGGACTGACTGCATGGGTGCCACATCTCATCTTTCCTTGGATCCCCAGGGATTAGAACATTTTTGAGACAAACTGTCAGAAGGCAAGGCCTCTTGGGCCTAGACACTATGGGCTCTTGCCACAGAATGGTCTGCTTGTAGCTAAATTAGGTCCCAGCCTGGACCAGCTGCTCTCCCACCGGGCTAGACCCTGTGTAGGCACCTGCCAGCTCACCTGAGGTTGGGGTCATAGGTGCGGCCGCCAGGCCGTTCATGTTGAGGGCCGCCATCTGCTGCATCTGGGCGGCAGCGAAGGCAGCCATGGGGTTCAGGTAGCCACCCTGTGCGACTGACGCCATCAGGGCTGCTTGCTGCTGCATCAGCTGGGGCAGAGGGAGTGGAAAAAATATCACATGCTTCCAGGGGGCATCCCTCCCGGACAAGGGCCTCAGCTCCTGGAGACTAACCTCCCAGGCTCTGAGCCCCAGAGACCCCAGACATTCTCCCGGCCAGCACCCCAGAAAGCCCTGATGCCTCTCCCATTCTTGCCCTGTATTTCAACAGCTATTAGAAGCCACCGCCCTGAGAGGTCACTGTATTTAAAAGTAACACTCTGAAGTTGTTGTGGGGGGCAGGGGAGGAGACTGGCTCCGTGGGTGTGGGTCAGCCCTGTGTAAGGCCTGTCATTCATGGGGATGTGGCATCCACAGCACTAGAGACATGCTAAGGAAGTTCTGAGCTTCTGCAGAACTTCCTTAGCACAGATTTCTGTCCAGAATGGCTTTAATTTGGAGTCTGTTGGTAGAAGTGACAGGAGAATTATGAATAGAACCCCAGGCACCCCCAGTGTGGTCACAAAGGTGAATGCAGACAGAGGAGGCCACAGAATGTGGCCAAGGTGGGCAGCACTGCAGAAGTGAGGTGCGCCTGTGTTTTCAGACCCAGAGCCGTGACCTGCTTCAGTGCCACCCACATGGGGGCTGTGGTAACCATCTGGAGGAAGCTCTGGGAGAGGCTGACAGAGTGAGCCCCAACGTGGAAGAAAGAAGTAGGTGGGCCAGAGGCCTAAGGAGATATCAGAAGTGTGGGTGTGGAGGGCTTTAAGGTGCCTTACAGGACCCCTACCAGGAGAGACCAGGAGGCCTGCAGACCCGTTCCACGGAGTGGGTGTGGTTTGCACCCAAAGACCTGAACCTCCCTTCTCATCTGTGCTTCTGGGATTTCGACGTTGATCTGGCTGACATGAAAAGGCTCAGGGTAACGTTTCTGGGGACCTCTCTTAACTCTGCGCCTTAGAACCAAGCTCACCTTCTCCTGGCAACCACCCCACTGGGCCAGCCTTCTCTCAGTCCCTTCTGAAGTGACACTCCCTGGGTTCATGGGTTCATTCTGGGCCCCTTCTCACTCTGGAGGGCGAGGGCTAGGGCGGGCGAGGGCTAGAGCAGTATTTTCGGTTAGGTGTCCTGCTCTCTGGGGCTCCCAGGGGAGTGAGCTTGAGAACTGCGCTGCCCGTGCGCGCTGCCACTTACTGCCTGAGCGTAGGCGCCGTAGGCCCCGAACGGGATGGCCATGGGGTTGAACATGCCCATCTGGCCAGCCATCTGCTGCATTCGCCGCATCGTGCGCTCCTTGTCGGTGTCGGCGAATTTGACCACCAGACTGGACGAGGCTCCCTGCGGCCGGGGCGGCGCGTGAGACCCACCTGCTCCAGAGCCTCCGCCCGCAGCTGTCGGTGCCCCTGGCCCGGGCCCACCCCGCCCGCTCCTCGGGGCGCTTTGGAGAGGGTGACATCAGCGCTCGCCCCGTGGAATGAGGTGTGAACCCCACCGCGGGCATTTTCTACATGGGTAGCCTCGAGCCGGTTCCTTAACATCCCTGGGTCTCAGCGTCCTTGTCTGAGACCCGGGGATAAGGGTCATGCTCTCCTGTCTCTCGGGGAGACTGGGCTGCCGGCGGGCGTGGCGGGTGCTGGGGTCTCGGCCCGCCTCTGCCCTCGCCCCCGCCCCAAGGGGCCAGCACTCACCGGCATAGTCTGGCTGCCGTGTAGCGCGTTGATGGCGGCCTGCGCCTCGGCGTGGGAGGAGTACTTCACAAAGGCGCACCCTGCGGGACGCGAGAGGCCGAGCTGGGACCCAGAAGCAGGGCCAGGGAGGGGCCGGGAGGAGAGGGCGCATCCCAGGTGAACGCAGACGGGTGAGGTAGAGATTGAGAAAGAGACACCAAAAAGCCCAGAGACAGACCGCGACGGCACCGGAGACTCAGAGGTGCCCTCGGGTCTCCCTCCGCCTCGCCCCTCCCGCCCGGGCACCTTCCCGGCCCCGCCCCGCCCCGCGCACCCTTGCTGTTGCCGTCTGGCCCGCGCAGGATGGTGCACTCCTCTATGTTCCCGAAGGCCTCGAAGAGGCGGCGCACGTCGTCCTCGGACTGTTGCTTGTTGAGCATGCCCACGAAGAGTTTTCTATCTTCTGGAACAAAATTAGGAGATGCTTACCCGGGCCAGGGACCGGGGTGCGCGGGGGCGGCCGGGGAGCAGGGCTCGGCCGGAGGGGGGAGGGCGGTAGGGAGAGGGAGGAGCCAGGGAGGCGGGGCCGGGGCTCGGAGCCGGGGGAAGAGGGGTGCGGGGAGGCTGACGGGGGCGGGGCTTAGTCGGAGCGGGAGAGGCGAGGGGTGAAGTGGGTGGGGTAGGAGAGGGAGCGCACAGCCGCGGGACAGGTGCGGGGGAAGCTGTGGCAGGCGGGAGCTGGATGGCAGCGACTCGGCCTCCTCCCGCCAGCAGGGCAAGCGGCACCCTGAAGGGCAGAACCCCTGGGCTAGCCCCTCATGAGAGCACACGGCTCGTTCTGGCAGCGTGCGTTCCCCTCCTCCCTCCTCTCACGCGCTCTGCTCTACAGGCGCCAGAATGAATCAAAACTGTCAGGTCTGCCGTCGGGCCTTTGCAGTTGTTGTTCCCCTGCCTGGAGCGCCTTCATCACAAGGTCCAGTCCTCTTCTTCTAGCTCTCAGCTCTAGGATTGCTTCCTCACCCATGCCCCTTCTTACCCCTCCCTTACTCTGTCTCAGCCGCCATCCCTGTGGCTGGAATGTCAAAGGACAATGACTGCCGGTTTCGGAAAGCTCCCGTTTCCCGCCCATTCCCTGGGATGCTCACTGGGGAAAGAGACCAGGCCTCTCTGCTGAAGCAGCAGTGCCTGGCGCACAGCAGGCCCTCCATTCAGTGATGGGGTGAACAAAGTGAATGACTGCCCATCCCAGGCACACCTCGTTGGTATCTCACATGGTTTTTCCTCCATCTGCATGCCCCCTCCATGGTCTGGCTCTTCTATTTCTTCACGCTGCAAAATTCTGCCCTGGGCACTTTGGGGGTACCTGTTCCTGAAGATGCCTTAGCAGCCCCCACACACCTGTGATGAGTATCAAGTGCTTTGTTGACCCCACGCTGTGTGCTCAGGGTGACAAGGTGCGCATGGGGCTGTATCGGCCTGCGGCTGCTGGTAAATCACTACAGAAGATGCCCGCAGCCCACATGCTCTGACTTCAGTGTGACTGTCACTCCTCTCACTGAGAGCTGGGGGGCATCTTCCTTTCCCATGAATCTCAGTGGGGCTTGTGACTGCTCTAAGAAATAACGAATGGCAGAAGTGACGCCAGGTGGCTTCTGAGGTTGGGTCATAAAAGAGATAAGCTTCCCGTTGGCTCTGTTTTGGGGAGTGTTAGCTCTGTGGAAGCCAGCCACCATGCTGTGAACCCCCAATTAGCCCATGTAGAAGAGTCCCCATGGAAAGGAACTGAGGCCCCAGCTGACAGCCAACATCAACCACCAGACATGTGAATGAATGAGTCCTCAGATAATGCCAGCTCCCAGCCTTGGAATTTTCCAGCTGAGACCCAGACATCCTGGAGCAGAGACAGGCCTTCCATGCTGTGCCCTGTGAATTCCTGACCCACAGAATCCATGAGCAAAATAAACTGTTGTTTTACAACACTCAGTTTCGGGCTAAATTGGTATGCAGCCATAGGAACTGGAACAGAGTCCCAGGGGTGGCTGCACTCAGCAGGCACTCACTGGATGTTTGTGGATGATTACATGATTGACACACAGCCAAAGCTGCAGAAATGCAGACCCCAAAACTGCAAATGGCCATGTGTTCATGGTTTCCTCTGAACACACAGGCACTCAGGGACCCTATGTCCTTCTGTATTCAAGGTGGTTGGTACCTACTCTCCTAGAGAACCCCCACCTTGCCCATATTGCCAGGAGAGTTCGCTTAGAGCTAAGGGGCTGTCCTGGGGTCTGAAGCAAAGCAGAGGAAGCTTCCAGGCTACTGCGCTCCAAAAGCTACCTGCACAGTCCTCCTGCCCTCTGCCCTGCTGGTACTCCTCAGCCCAGATGCACTCAGCACTGGGCCAGTTCTCAATGCTGACGCGGTGCCGGGGTCCCAGCTCCTCCCATAACCTGCAGGGCATGGTTGCTGGTCCTGTTACCAGCTCTGGATCAGGAAACACCAGCTGCCCTCCAACAGGGTGGGCCTCAGCTGAAGCTCTGGACCCCAGAGCCCCAGCCCCACTGCCTGCCTCCAACTGCTCTTCTGGCTCCTGTGGCTTGGCAAGACTTTGGGGCACACCCCCACCTCATCTCTAGAGTTCCTTGTGCAGCCCTCCCCCACCAACTCCAGTCTCTGGAGAAGGAAGGGAGAGAGGGAGGGTGGAAGCAGGAAGCTGAAGTGGGATGGGAGGAGATAGAGTTCAGAGCAGAAAGGGAGCGGAGGAGAGAAACTGGCAGGAAACATAGGCAAGAGCATTAGAGGGAAATAGCTGGGAGAAGAGGCTGTGAGGGAAAGATGACAGAGACAGAGGAAAGAATGGGGAGCCCTTATGTTTGACTCCTGGAAGCAGCAACAGCAATTTACTGGAAGTGAAATGGGAGCTTTTCCTTCTTTTGTGGAGTAATTAAAACAGCTCCCCCTCCCCACCCTGCTCCTCCTACCTCCCCCTCAACCTTTGGTGCCTTTCAAAGGCTCAACTGAATAGGGTTTTCAGAAAGACTAAGAAATGGAAACCCGCCCCTGCTAATCCCTGGCCCTCTTGCTAAAAATTCCATTTCCTCACTTGGACAGGAAAAGGAAAGAAAGAAAGGGAAGGCACCTCCTCTGCCCAAGCTTGATTTACATTCGGGGACCGCAGTTCCTCGCTTTCGCCTCTCCTGATGGCTGAATGTCTTCCTTTATTATCGCTATGACAGTTTTCTGATTGCATTAAAATTCATCGACACGTGCCTTTCTATCCAGCCACTTCCTTTTTTGCCGGTTTTGGGTTTTTTGTTTTTTCCTAATTCCTCGTTCCCCTCCCCTGAAATCTCCCTTCACTGTGCAGTTCTCAGTAAGCTGCCTCCTGCTCCAGGCCTTTCTAAACATATAAGCGGCCAGGCTCCACCTCCTCCTTCCTCCCCATCTGGATTTCCCCAGGGAAGCTACAGCCACCCTTACCTTTCTGGAAGACTGCAAGAAACCAGAGAAACTCCACTTCAGACCCACTTCCTCCAGGTAGTCATGGATTGACCGCACCCAACGCAAATGTCTGCTTCCAGGATCCTCAAATGTGTTCAGTTTGCACTGTCTTCCAGTTGGGGATTGTGACTTATGCGAGTGATTCTAAGGCTTCTCTCTCAGACCAGGGGCTAGAGGGACTTCGAGTTTGCAAGTGGACCTCCTTCTGGGCCAGGCCCACTGACTCCCACTCTCGGTCCCTTCTCCACACCTGAGTTTTGGGATCTGTGAAATGGGTGTGATGAGACACTCATGCCATGGTGGTAGCTGGGGCCCCGAGAGCTGCTGCGGGGGTAGTGACTGCCCAGCGGTAATTACCATGGCAATGGCCCCTACTTGGGTTTCTCTGTACAGGAGGAAGAGGAAATGCAGTGCTCACCCTGCCTTGCTTTGACCTGGAAGGTCAACCCTACTGTGAGGGGGCAGAGGTCAAAGAGGGTGAGAGGAGAAGGCGGAGGATCCACATCTCATGATGGGGAGCGTTCTTGAAGCAATAGGTTGGACTAGATTCTGAGGCTGAGGTGACCCACTGAGATGGACGACATCCCCGTCTCCCACCCCCTCTGCCCACCTCCTTTCTGGCCACTTTCCTGAGGAACTGTCTCAAGCTGTGTCAGATAAACAATGGTACGATTTGGCTGGTGTCTTGGATCTGATGCCAATTTCACAAGAGTCTTGGAGAATGACTCAGTTTCTCCAGTCCATGCCCACCCTCCTCCATCTACATAGCCCCTGACTCCTGGTACACGCAGAACAGGCCCTGGCCACTGCCCAGCTGCCTGAGCTGGGACCCAGGGTAATGGAGAGGCTCTGGTGGTCCCCCTTTTCTAGGGAGCCTTCAGCCCTGAGCCCACTGCTTCCCACAGTTGGAGTGTCGGGAGCTGCCCCTGTAAAGAGACGTTCAGGTAGGTGCTGCTGGGCTGGGCCAAGGTGGTGAGGCGAAGAGTGGCCTCAGAGCTAGTGTGGGGAGGGGCTGAAGAGTGAGTGGGAGGTCGCTGAGAACCCCTGGGAGCTCGGAGATGTGGTGAGCAACTGGAGGCCGGCATTGGGAGCCCAGATTCTCCTCTGAACAGAGCCCAGCTCAGGTCAGGGGCTCAGTCCTGGAAGATGGAAACTGAGCACAATAAAATCCGCTGACCTGAGCTGAGGGGACTGAGGCCTCACGGGTTTCTCCTGGTCAAGGGACAGAGCAAGGGGAGCATGTTTTACAGTCACTCAGCAGCTGTTCACTGAGCGCCTTCTCTGTGCCAGACACTGTTCCAAGCATCGCCTCTACAGCGGTAAACAAGAGAGACGCAGCTGCTCGCCAGAGCTGCCATCTGGGTGGAGAGACAGGCCATCCACAACACACAAGTACCCAAACAAGACAAAGGCCAGTAGGGCTGCCACACAGTGGCCCCAAGAACTGCTGTCCCTGAACCTGGAAGAACAAGGTCATAGAGTGGCAGTGCTGGGCAGGACCCAGGATAACACCACGGGTTTCACGCTTTTTCAGACAAGGAAGCTGGGGTGGAGAAGCAGCTCCAGGATGCACAGGAGGTTGCCCACAGCTGGAGCCTAAACTCAACCCAGTCTCGTGGGTTTCCTTGACTTCCTGATCCCAAAGCCCTTGCTGCTGCCATCTGCTCTTTTAAACTGACTGTCTGTGCCTGCAGGTGTGAGGGAGCATCTGTTCTGTGGAACAGGAGTGTGACTCCCCAAAGGGCTGGGCAACAGGAGGTGGGTGCTCATCTAAGCCCTGCCTGGACCCAGAAAGGGTAGCTTGGCTCTTTGTGCCCAGATGTCTAACCACCATGGGGGAGCAGGCAGAGTCTGCACTCACCACCCCACCTGCGTAGGAGCTGGGGCTGGGGGAAGCCAATAAAACTGTGGATGGGAGAAGCCCGCAGCTCTGTGTCAGGTGAAGGTGTCGACAGCCACCTC